ATATTTATGAATACACTCCTATGTATTCGTATTCGAATACTTACTATTTTCCTGCATTCATTTTAGTATTCGTATTCATAAAAATATGAAGTATTCGTATTTGTATTCGAGTTCTGATCTCAAGTATTCGCACCATCCATGCTACTACTAGCACTATTAGTATTAAACACAGAACGTATTGTAAAAGTAAAAAGGATGTTTCAGTATACTTTTAGTTGCAACAATATTCGTAGTTCAAATAAATAGAGCATATTGTAAAAGTCAGTAAGATGTGTCGACCTACTATCAGTTTCAGATCATAAGAAAGTAAGCTTAGGGGAAAAACAAAGTGCTAAAACATTTACCAGAATGAAAAGTAAACTTAGTGGAAAAACAAAGTACTAAAACATTTACCAGAATGAAATGTAAACTTAGTGAAAAAACAAAGTACTAAAACATTTATCAGAATGAAAAGTAAACTTAGTGAAAAACAAAGGGCTAAAACATTTACCAGAATGGAAAGTAAACTTAGTAAAAAAACAAAGTACTAAAACATTTACCAGAATGAAAAGTAAACTTAGTAAAAAAACAAAGTACTAAAACATTTACCAGAATGAAAAGTAAAATTAGTAGAAAAACAAAGTACTAAAACATTTAGCAGAATGAAAAGTAAACTTAGTAAAAAAACAAAGTACTAAAACATTTACCAGAATGAAAAGTAAAATTAGTAGAAAAACAAAGTACTAAAACATTTACCAGAATGAAATGTAAACTTAGTGAAAAAACAAAGTACTAAAACATTTACCAGAATGAAAAGTAAATTTAGTAAAAAAACAAAGTGCTAAAACATTTAGCAGAATGAAATGTAAACTTAGTGGAAAAATAAAGGGCTAAAACATTTACCAGAATGAAATGCTCATTACGATTCGGACCTAGCTATTTTTAGCCTTAACTGAAATTGTATAGTAAATCCACCTGGGAAAGGACTGCTGTCTGTAACGTTGAATCAAACAGATATTTTATTATCCACCTTAACGAAATTATTAATTTAATTATCGAACTTTTGTTTCTAATATAACTTACTACTATAAAAGGTAGAATTTAAGCTCACCCGTTTGTTATTGTTTTTCGAACTTAAAGAGAAATAAATATCATCGACACTCAAAATCTTTTATATTAGAAAAGTTATGTATATTCAATTCAAGTCGAACAATATACTCTCTTCAATGTTTTTATCATCATCCTGAAAACACACACACACACACACACACACATACACATTAAAAGCAAAGCTTGTCACCATCCTGAAAAAATCACACACACACACATTAAAAGTAAGGCTTGTTACCATCCTGAAACAACAACAACAACAAAACACACACACACACACATTAAAAGCAAGGCTTATGTATCAAAATGATTTCTTATTCTTATTTCTTTAGATAGTTCTAGACTGAATGATTTGTTTGTTTTGAATTTCGCGAAAAGCTACACAAGGGCTATCTGCGCTAGCCGTCCCTAATTTAGCAGTG